ATTTTACAAGTAAACGTCAAGGAAATGCTGGAGAAGGGTGTTATTCGGAAGTCACGGAGTCCTTGGGCATGTGAACCTCATTTTGTGACGAAGCCTGATGGGAGTATTCGTTTTTGCATCGACTGTCGTCCGTTAAATGAAGTGATGATCGCAGATGTGTATCCTCTTCCTCACACTGCTGATCTCTTGGATCGTCTGGGGTGAAGTCGTTGGTTCACCAAGTTAGATCTTGCTTCTGGGTATTGGCAAGTACCGATGGCCGACGAAGATATTCCTAAGACTGCTTTTCATTAACCATTTGGTTTGTATGAGTTCTTGGTGATGCCGTTTGGTTTGAACAATGCTCCAGCAACTTTCCAGCAGATGATGGACGAGGTTCTTTGCGATATGCCAGAGGTGACTGCTGACTTCATTGATGATGTCTTGATCCACTCGGAGGGGACGTGGGAGGAGCATGTTCGTGATGTTTGTAAAGTGTTGGATCGGCTACGTGACGTTGGTTTAAAGCTGAAGCGGTCAAAGTGCGTGTTTGGGTCCAAGGACACAACTTATCTTGGGTACCGTATTTCTCGTGAGGGTTTGCAAGTTGATCCTGACAAACTTGTGGCTATTCTAAAGTTCCCTACTCCGAAGTGTGTGAATGATGTGCAGCACTTTTTGGGTAAGGTGCAGTATCTCGGTCGTTTTGTGGATCATCTTTCCGATCGCACTACACCATTGCGAGCGTTGCTGAAGTCATCAACGTCATCTTTCATCTAGTCTCCAGATTGTGAGCGAGAGTTCGTGGATCTCAAAGAACTATTGACGACTCCTCCGGTTTTGGCATATCCTGACTACACTCGACCTTTTATTTTGAGCGTGGATGCTTCTGACATTGGTCTTGGAGGTGTGTTGATGCAAGAGAGCTCGAGTGTGCTGGGGAAGCGCCATCCCATTGCATACATAAGCCGTACATTACAACCAATGGAAATGAACTACTCCACGACGGAGAAGGAGTGTTTAGCAGCAGTCTGGGGTTTCGAGAAAACTTCATGCCTATCTACATGGTTCTCAGACCTTACTTGAAGGTGACCATGCTGCTGTTACTTCATTGTTGAAGCGGAAGAACATAGTTGGTCGTACGGCTCGATGGGTTTTGAAGCTTCAGATATATGATTTCGATGTTGTTCATCGCCCAGGGAGTTCTATGGCTGATGCTGATGCCCTTTCTCGAGCTCCCCTTCCTTCTCCATTCACTTCTCATGTTTCTGACGAACCTATTGTTGGATTTTCTAGATGAGGATTCTGTGCCGTCGGCGGTTGCTGTCCTTGACGTTCAATGTCCACAAGGTGCAGAGCAAGATCTACCTTCTCTTGATGAGGTTCGCGAGGCTCAAAAGATTGAGAAGTGGATTCGGAGGCTTCGAGATGGGTTTGAGAATCCTGCATCACTTGTTAATGACTTGCCTTTCCGGCATTTACATTCTCAATATTGCCTTGACGATGGCCTTCTTTATTTTGTGGGGACGGATCCTGATGATCATTTACGGCTGGTGGTGCCTTCGGTATTTATTCCGTGGTTTCTCCATGCCTACCATGATTCTCCTATTCTAGGTGGGCATATGGGACACCATCGTGTCACCGAGAAGCTGTGCAGGTTTTTCTATTGGCCAGAGATGCAACGTGGTATTATCCGGTATGTGCGTAGCTGCGTTTAGTGCCAAGCTCGTAATACTCCCCCTCGTGCTGCAGAAGGACCGTTGGAGTCAATTGCGGTTTCCCGTCCGTTTGAGTTAGTGGTGTTTGATCTTATGGGGCCTTTTCCACGGTCGACTGCTGGCAATGAATACGTTATTATTGCTTTTGACTACTTGACTCGTTGGGTGGAAGTTGGTGCTCTTGCTAGCGCCTCTACAACTGTTGTTGGATACTTCCTCCTCAATCGAGTGGTGTTCCAGCATTCTTGTCCAGAGCGGATTCTTTCGGATAATGGTCCCGCATTTATGGCTAAGGCATTTCATGTTTTGACATCTCGGTTGGGGATATGCCACACTTTCACGAGTGTTTATCATCCACAATCAGACGGTCTGGTGGAACGGCTTGTTCGGACATTCAAAGGGATGATTATGAAGTATGTGAACTTTCAGCATTCGGATTGGGATGGTTATTTGCCATTTCTTCGGTATACATATGTTACAGGGGTGCAGAGTTCTGTTGGTGCTTCACCATATAAACTCCTATATGGTCATGACCCAATATTACCAACGGAGCTGGGTTTACCTTCGCGATTGCCACGTGCTGCCGATGCTAGATCATGGGATCAGTATTTGACGAGCATTCTTCCACTTGTCCGAGCAGAGTCTGCCTAACACTTAGGCCGCGTACAAGTGGGACAACAATGGCGCTACAACTCTCATCATCGTCTACCTGTGGAGTACAAAGTGGATGATTTGGTGTTAGTCCGTTTTCCCCATCTTACGGTACGTGGTTTATCTAAGGGGCTTCTTGCGCAATGGAAAGGACCATATCAAGTGTTGCGACAAATTGGACCACAAGTTTATGAGGTTCGGCATGACATTCAGCAGGCCGATCCTCCAAAGATTGTGCATTTGCAGCGGCTAAAACGCTTCGTACAAAGGGATCAAGAGGAGTTAATGCCACCTATAGATCCACCGATGCCTCCTCCTGACGTTCCTCCAGATCCTGGCCCATCTTCAAAAGAACCCTGATGGTCTTCCATTATCCCGAGAGGAGGGGATGATGTGAGGGCCAAGTGTACGGTTATGATGCTATATACTAATATTAGCGTAGTGGGATTTTGGTAGCCGTCAGATTGGTTTCAATCTAGACCACTCGCTCCTGTATATAAGCTAGGGTTTTTGGGCTAATTGATATACACATTTCTATATTCCCTTTCCATATTCCAAGCACTCACATTGTGAGTGCTCAGAATAAAGGAAAAGGTATATTAATTAAAGTTTAAGCCCCTACTTATATACAAGAATGGATGGATCAGATTTAGTCCCAAATGGACAGTCTATAATTAGTGTATTACCTAGCTAGGGTAATACATATATTTACATATATGTATTATATGTATTTACAAACTTTACACCATCCTCCTTTTGGAAGATGAGAAGGTGATAATGATAAGTCAGGTGGAACATCTTGAGTTTATGTTGGGCAATTATAAATTACCACAAGAATCTAAAACTCCCACAAAACCACCAATAAAGTTGATGATAATCATGACTGAAATAAAATCTAAAGCCATGGCATAATCATTAGCCCACTATAGAACCTTGATGAATCAGTTGCAACTCTTTATGCAACCACGCAACCATAACTTTGCACTGAGGAGGTCAGACTCACTCCGTTCGTCTTTCACATTCTCCTTATCCCCTCCTCGAAGAAAAAATGGTTTTGAAACACTAGCTCCTTTTGGACTTATGTGCTTGTCCTCACTTCACCATTTATGTCCGGCCTCACTCCACTATCGCATCTATTCTACCTCATTATATCGGGGTTGAATGTTTCATTCAAACTCGTTATGGTCATCCTCACTCCACAATCCATATCATTCGTCCTCGCTCCATTATTATATTCGTTCGTCCTCACTCCATCATTGGGGCCAGACTCCCATCTGTCCCCTCTACTCCCTCCTCTAAAGAAAAAAAAGTTTGAAGTGTCAAGGCAGAAAGGAGAAAACAGAAAGAAAAATTGAAGAAAAACAATTGTGGAGGAAGAAAAAGTAGATAAAGACGCATTGGAAGAAGAATTTGCAACAATTGGCAATGCAAAAATGGAAAATCAAAAGAATATATGCTTAAAGCTTGGTCAATAGGGGATTTCCTTTTGTAAAATATTTCAGCCACAATATAAGCAAAAGATTCACACTACTCAACTTTCTCAACACACAATTTAACACCTGATATAGGAAAATCAATAACAACATTCACACTCTCAAGAGAATATATAAACTCTTCATGAGCAATAGTAAAGCAAAGGCTCTCAATGACACTCACAAATGGGGACATGCATTCAACCCAAAACTCTGGCCAAAGTGACTTAACCTTGGAACAAGTAAAATACTCAATACCAGAACTAACTAAAGACTTTACCAACAAAATAAAAGCAAGATTCTCAACTTCATGGATACATTCAATATCCAGATTAGTATGAGGAGGATAGAAAACACTCAACTCAACACTGATTGAGAATTAGAATCATAAGAGTTATAAATGATCGACGTGCCAAAAGAAGAAAACACTACAAATGAAGAAGAAATACTAAGAACTTGAGAAGGTGGCTCAGGCTGAAAAATAAAAAAATAATTGGGAAAGAGTAGAAGGGAACGAAAAAGGATTAAATAACATATTGAAATATTGACACTTACTTCACGAAACCTCCACTTCATCTCCAAAACTATCTCTATAATAATCAAGCTCATCATCACACTTTGGAATCCACCCGAGTTCATACACATTGTTTTTCCACAAACTTAATCCTCAAACATTCTCCAAGAATTAAATTGCATCATCCATAGCTCACTAATCAATATCATGATCACACTCCACGTCAATAAAAGATGGTAGAACATTGAGAACAACATAAACCGTATAATCACATCCCACAAAAGCTGGAGACCAACAAACAACACATCAAGGATGGGCACAATACCAATATGATCACACCCCACAACACCAAAAGTTAGATCCAACGGAGCAGTATTAGCAGCCTCAAGTGACATACTTCTTGATTGATGAGGGCCCGGTGGCAGAGTACATCCTAAGCTGTGACATTGTTGCATTCAACAAGATATGATCTACTCGGCCATCTCCTTTTTTTGATTGTGTTCTTCACTGCGAGAAATGAAGGACTCTCGTCGTCATTGTATTCCCTCCAGCTTTCTACAATCTTAAAAAGTTTTGTATGATCCATCCATCGTTCCAAATAAAATTGGGGCTACAACGCTATAGTTGACCATTAATGTTCGTTTATCTCTAACCCTCGCGGTTTAGGTTAACTCGTTATCTTCCCGCCTATTTCCAAACGCGAGGTTCTTCGCGCGCCATGGAGATGAAGGCGCTGGAGCGGCGGCTGGGAATGGCGGCCGATCGCGAAGTGCTGCGCAAGGCGGAGGAGCTGCTGCGCCTCTTCCGTATGGAATTTGATGCGGCAGCATTTGGCATTGTGAGTGTGCTTGCTTCTTTCTTTCCGCCTGTGACTTGAGGGTATCCAATGCTCTTGTGTGTTATTCCAGGGCGATGTCTGCCGATCCGTGCTCTGTTTCGACATCGCGTGCTCGATGTAAGTATCCAGATCTGCATTTCTTTGCGGGTGGAGTTTATTTCTTTCTTTTCTTCTCGGACAGGATGCAAGTTCCATTTGATCGGCAAAAGGGAATCAAGCTGAGTGGTCTTTCTGATAAGGCTTACAATAGATCACTCACCACAGTCCAGAATGCTCTTGATATCAGGTATTTCTTCAAAGCCAGGAAGAAAAGAGATGGAAGAAAAATGTGGGAATAACATTTTTTTCCTCAGGACAAGCTTGAATGTGCGCGAGCTCGCTGTGCATTTGGATGCGTGAGACTCATACAAGCAGTCCAGAGAGTCTTGGCAGCGTAAGAGCTTCCTCTTTCCTTTTAGTTTATTTCTTTACGGGCTCTCTCTACGTTTTGCTCCAGATACAAAGAGCGAGTTTTGGCCACTTTACCAGAAGCACGACGTCGAAGCGCTGATTTCGATCGCCCTGTATTCACCAGCGTCGCGTTTTATTTATGCGCGAGAAAGCAAAAGGCAAGCAGTTTCCAATGCTTTTTTTCACGGTTTTAAGTTGACAAAGCTAAATTGATGGAGGTGTCTAGCACGTCGGACCCTGAGTTTTCCAACGTAAGCTCCAACGAGCAATTGTATTGCCGATTCTAGATTTTATTTTTCTACAGGTTGCCGCGTCTATGACAGATATCTGCTTCGATTTGGTCGGTGTTGAGAAAGAGAAATCCGAATCAAGAACTAGAGAATGCAAGAGAGGTATGCAAAGAACTCGATATTTTTTCTGCAAGGCCTGATCTCACAGTGCGAGCATTTCTTCTGCAGCTCTGTCGGATGCCACGAATCTCGAGGTCAGTAGGAAGGCGTCGATCTGCTTGTTGCAACTTCCAGGTTCTAAAGACATTAGTTTGGTTTGCATGCAGGATCCAGGCAGGACAACATGCCTAGAATACGAGGAATGGAAAGAGCCGTTTTGTCATCCTCGAAACAAAATCCATCACCTGGTAAGCTTTTAGTGATTAGTTTCTTTGGATTGATCAAGCGTGCCCGATTTCTCCGTTCGTTTGTTCAGGGGCTGTCAGAGACCGAAAGCAAACGCGCTTAAACTTCGAAAGAATGTGATTTCGATATTTTGTAAAAAAGGAAAAAGTAAAGTTACTCATTTTTAAAAAACTTCTAAATATGTTTACTAGCAAATTAAAATAACAAATAATATTAGTATTTATTTGGTACTAAAGATCATACCAATTGATTTATATTGTCTTGGTTTTACCAATTGCTTCTACCCATCTTGAATAACACTGCAAAGCAAAATAATTCACTAGCCTTGTTCCTCCTCTTGTTTGTACTATTACTATATGTATTATTATTATAAGCATTAGTAACATTCTTCATGGTTGCCAGCTTTGCAAGGAGTGCCCTGTAGTACGCATCAAGCAACCCATCCTGTGGATTCCACACGCATCTCTTTTGATTCTCAGGGGTATGCTCCACAAATCCCTCGGCCTTAAACCTGGAGCACTTAATAAGACGTTGCCAAGATGAGATCTCATGACCTTGAGTATTTTCCTCCATAGAATCAATCAAAAAACTCTTGAAATGTGACAAAAGACGCCAGAATCTCCAAGGATGAGTACTAGACTGGTGAAGAGAAAAGCTTTGCATTTTTGTTTCTATTCTAAGGGGATGTAGCTCAGATCGTAGAGCGCTCGCTTAGCATGCGAGAGGCACCGGGATCGATACCCGGCATCTCCAACTATTTTCAATCATTCCAAGCGTTTTGACCGATTTTACTGGTGTTGACTATGGTTGACCACTTGAGGAGCTAGGGATCCACGATGAAGAAGTAAAACCGGATGGTGCTAGTTCCCTCCACTGTTGGGTCACTGGATTGCTGCTCTACCGTCTGTGACAAACTGGCTTTTATTCCAGTACCCAGATGGGTTAATTCTTTTGCTTTTGCCTCTGACATTATGAAACTACTTTGATATGTTGTGTCTGCAATAGAGGCAGCCATAATAAGAGACCTCCAGGCCGAGAAAAAGAAAACTGGTAGGCAGGAGCGTGAAGACAATAAGGATGCCATCTACATGACAAAGATAATCCAACTTGCATTTTTGCATCTATCAGTCTCATGCTTTCGGTTGGGCACCGTGAGACTATCAAAACAGCAATGGATAGATATTTATCTCGTGTTTCTTTTCCCCAGTTTCCTGTAGGGAAGTAGTTTGTGCACGCTGATGGCTTGTGTCTCCATGATCACATTCAATGAGTGCTAAGTTGAAAAACGAGGAAAAAAAGAGTTTCGTTATTCAAAGTATCCAAAGTGGCGTGTCACTGCAAGTAGGACATTAGGATTGGAAAGATATCCATTTCTCTTTTTGAAATATCATACCTATACTGTGGAGAGCATTTGGTGATTGAGCAATGCATGTTATCTCAAAGGAAGCAGCGCAGGAATGCGATCTTTCAGGAGCCCAGGTGGCAGATCGAATCTGGAAGTTGTGGTGGACGATTCTCCGACTGAGAAGAAACAGATGGATGCTCACACTCGTAGTTCCCACAGCAATGGTACACTGGAATTCTCCGCAAAGTGTCCTGCCAACACTGGCAGTGACACGTAAGTCAGCACAGTGCATGTGTTGTCACAGGGAAGATTGTGTAGAATCAATCTTCAAGGAGATGAAGTTGCAGAGCAAGAAGACAGTAGGCTCTTGCTCACTGACGGTGATCTCACCCAGAGATCACATACAAGGGTTGACTGGTGGAAGTTGCCAGACTTGGAAGTTATGACACAACTGGCTCGGAACATGGATTGGAAGGTAGAGCAAGAACCTACCAAGTTTCGATTTGATGAAGGATTTACGAGCTATCCTCTAGAGGTGACAAGGGAGCAGACGTTGGTGCACCTCCAAAGGCCAGAGAGGTTGCTCAAGACGAAAGGTTTGAGAAAATGTAACGTACTACTTTTGCTCTCTATTCTTGCAGGCGCTCAAATCTCAACTTTGATGAGAAGAAGCAGTACAGGGCATAGTGGCCAGATAAGTTTCTCCAGAGTCAAGAGCATCACAAGCGGGGAATCAAGCAAGTGCAATTGTGAAAGTATGGTCGAAGTCTACACTGCGGCTTGCAACACAGGTTGTTCGACAGGATGGGACGATGAACAGGATAGGTTGGTCTACCTGGAAAGCAAGACTCTCGCCTCACAAATTGTGAATACGAAGCTGATGCATTTGTCGCAAGCAGCCTCGTGGACATGTGGAAGCGTCAGAAGTGTTCGGGAGGACGAAGAAACATGTCTGGAACACGATCATCATGGGACATGCACTTCTTCTATCGGATGCACGAGAAGCTGGCCTACCTCACGCTGAGCAAAACATCCTTTCCTGGGATACACCGAGAACAACCTTTGCTCTCGAGCGCTATGAGCAAGCCAGCAGCCAAACGCTCAGACTTTCGTGGTGGCGCTCAAGGCACGGGGCGACTTAGGCGAAGAGGCTCCACTCGCAGATCTGGAAGAGAAATCTGGACGGAATCCACTACTCGCGTGCTCACTCATCACATTCTATAGGAAGTGTGGAGACGTGGCTGCCTCTCAAGAAGTTTTCTGCCCCAAGTTCAGTATTACTCCGGCACTTCCTCTTGCACTACTCATTTGAAGTACCTGGAGAGTGCCTTACAAAGCATGATGTTCATAGGTACTATAATTTTTAGTTCATAGCTTTTTTGTTTCATCTTATAGCTAAAACAGCTTGAAGTCAGAGACTTCTAACTAGCTCGACCATCTTGGCCTAAGCATCACGTAAGTCAAGTACCTTCTTGTGAAGGCGAAACTGAAGCTTGGTAGTTTCATGAAAAGTTGTGAAGGCTCTGGAGCTTATCTCCTTACCTTGTTCTTTGACTTTTTCATCAATGACATGTTATTTCAGGGACGGGAATGGACATACAATCTTATTGTGGAGAGGGTATTAGGAGGTGTTGCTCATCTCGGGAGCTTGTTGGTAAACTTTGTGAGGAAAATGGAGAAAGAGTGTAATGCAAGATTGACGGAGCCATCAACAAAACCCAAACAAAGATGAAAACAGGCGAAAGGATCTTAGGGGGCACACCATGGTCAAAAGATAAAAATATCAGAGACAATCATGCTCTGGATCATATTTCACAAATGGTTATTTCTATAGGAAATTATATATCTATGGTGTTTGGTCACTTAAACTTAACTTGAAAACTTGGGACTCAAGCTTCTCCAAGTAGATTAGATGTTACATTCTGTCCTGTACAAATGTACAACTTTGTAACTATGATTCAAGTACTTTTTTCTAAATTTGATTTCATGATAGAGAGTTGTCCAAAGTAAATTGTGTGCTTTTGTCTTGCTGATGCTTGGCAAGTTTCTTTGTGCCTTCTTTCAGCTGATCTAGACAAGGTCGTTAATATTTAAGTTTCGTGATGGTTGCACGTTTTTCTTCTATTGAAAAATTAACTCTCTCTTTGAGTGTAATTATAAGAAATGCCCTATATTGTTTTCAGTGTAATTTATAGATAAAGTTTATTTTAGTTTCAAATAAAATACCAATATTTATTTTTTTCACCTCATGTTCAGACGTTATGATGAATCCAAACTTTAACATTTGGATCCATCCTATGCAAAGGATGAAAGATTTCAGAATTTTAATGTTTATATGTAATTGCAACTCGGGAATTAGTTGTTTATGATGTTGTAAAGCTTCCCATTTATAATATTTCTTCCATACTTGAGAATTATATACTCATAATGATGGTATTCCTGTTTGATGGCTATTTTTTACTTTCAACTATAATGCTTTTGAGTATGCTATGTTTGCTTCCTTTGACCAAGTATTTGTAATGTTCATATGTTTGTTGTTTCTCGTCTACTAATATGAAATTAAAAAAGATTTAAAGAACTTGAATTATAATTATAGAAGCTATATATTTGTACAGAGCATGGTTAAAAGAAAAACATAACATCTAATCAACAACAAAATCTCGGAGAAACTTAACTCCCAAGTTTAATATGGGTTTAATCAAAGAAGTTTTGGGAAAAAAGTTCTATATAATAATGTAAATAGGTTTGTGAATAAACTTGTATAGGTTTAAAGTAACCAAACACTATAGATCCATAAGTGGTTGCTTCAGCAAACCTATGGTGGTATTGAATATACTTAAATTATGCTTGGAGATTCTATTATATTTTAATATCTTATAGTTGGTTGCTCATTTAGATTAATCTTTTTTTTTAATAATTTATAAACTTCCGTATAAACACTTTCTAGTATATTTTTGTTTATTCTACTATAATATTAATCTTAAATAAGTTTATAACTAAATTACTCACAGCAAATTAATTAAGAGATAAGTATTTTCTCTCATATTTTTTATCATGCCAGCTAGGATCCTTTCACGTCTTTTCAGGTACCATCTTTAATTGACGGCTCCATCAACCTTGCATGACACTCTTTCCTTGCAAAGTTTACCAACCTCCCAAGAAAAGCTTTTCTCTCATTGAGCGACCACGCTGAGTAGTGGATTCCCTCCAGATTTCTCTCCCAGATCTGCGAGTGGAGCCTCTTCTCTGCTAAGTCACCGCATGCCTTGAGCGCCACCATGAAAGTCTGCGGCTTGCTCATAGCACTCAAGAGCAAAGGTTGTTCTTGGCAAATCCCAGGAAACGACGTTTTGCTGCTCCATGCAAAGTCTCAGCGTTTGGAGGCAGGCCAGCTTCTCGTTGCATCTGATAGAAGACGTGCATGTCCCATGATGATCGTGTTCCAGGCAACCAACGTCGTGTTTCTTTGTCCTCCTGAACACTTCTGATGCTTCAACATGTCCACGAGGCTGCTTGCGACGAATGCATTGGGTTAATTTGCGAGGTAGACCAACCTATCCTGTTCTTCGTCCCATCCTGTCAAACAACCTGTGTTGCAAGCCGCAGTGTAGACTTCGACCATACTTCCACAATTTTGCACTTGCTTGATTCCTGGCTTATGATGCTCTTGACTCTGGAGAAACCTATCTGGCCGCTATGCCCTGCTCTGCTTCTTCTCATCGAAGTTGAGATTTGAGCACCTGCAAGAACAGAGAGCAAAAGTAGTACGTTACCTTTTCTCAAACCTTTCGTCTCAAGCAACTTCTCTGGCCTTTGGAGGTGCACT